GTGTGCCTTGGCAGTCTGAGTAGGAAGGGGTGGAGTATAAGGGCAAGAACAACAGTAGTGGAATGTGCACTCACCCATCTTCCCCTCCGACAGAACTTTCTCAGCATACATCTGTATACAGTAGGAAGCAAAAGGGAACAGCTTCCTTCCTTCTCTCCGTGTCTCCTCAGAACAGGTGGTCCAAGGCCTTGTCAGTCACTTTTCCCTATTGATATAATATTGAAGGTCTTAAGTGACAAACAAAGACCATATTGAAGCAAACATTTAGGATTAACTCTGAAAGCATACAAGTACAGTATATTACGTGGGAGGAACCAACTAGTTTTACCACAAATTAGAAAAAAAAAACATTAAAACACTTTAATATAATAATCCTAGGCCTACTTCAATTTTGATCGATATGCTCTAAAGTACAGGCTGGTTACATCACATATGCAGTCCATAAAAGTCGATATATTTTTACACTAACTGAGTTTTTCTTCTACTATTTGCATCTTCATTCAACGTCATTATTTTTGCCAATACATACTCCACGACTGTTGTCTTTATCAACAGAAGGTTAGACTAGTTACAGTGTTCACTGCCCTGCTAACAGGAGGACAAAATTCATATGAGACAACTGGGAGCAAATGATAACAAAGGCATTCTTCCTAAAGTTAAAGTGTATCTATAGCAAGCAATAGAAAGTTCAAGCACTTATTGTGTCACTAGAAATATTGAAATTCCCTACAAAGCTATGATATATTTGTTTATTTAAGACTGCAGAGGTTCCAAGACAAAGATGATTCGGGCATTAAAATGGTTCAGCACTATAAATGTAATGTTCACATAATTAAAATTATACCAAAAAAAAGCTACTTAATTTTGTGTTTCATTTCAAAGAACTACGTACTACTAGCTGTTAGAGTTGGGCTATAGCCATTGGTGTAGAGTAACCAAGTACATTTACGCAAGTACTGTACTTAATAACTATTTTGAGAGACTTCTACTTTATTTCAATTTAATATATAAACTAAGACTTTTTTTACACCTGGAGTAAATGTACAAGCTACCCTGCAGTATACAAAGTAATTTAAACTAGCTGCACCTTTACCAGCTTTGATAACACTTGAATGCATCAATAATTATAATCAAAACATATAATATATATTATTCTTAAATGGGCCAAACTGCAGAATGAGTACTTTTGGTACTTTAAATATATTTTAATGCTAATTATTTTATTTGAGTAACATTTTGAATGCAGGACCTTTACTTGTAACAGAGTATTCCTACACCCTGTTATTTGTACTTTTACTCAAGTACAAGTTTTGAGTACTTCTCCCACCTCTGACTATAGCCTTTAGCAATGTTAACTGTTAGCATTAAGTGTTAGTTAGACCACAGGGCTGAAACACATTCCAGAAAGAGACTCACCTGACTTTCCTTACAGCAGGTGAAACAAATGCCTTCGTTAATGACAAATATAATGTTATTTTTTCTTTAAAGTCTTTATTGAAGAATAAAATAGCAACAAAAAAACTTGTGCCTCGAAAAACAGACGACGAGGCCGTTTAAACTCCGCCACAGATAAATCCAGTTTGAAGTAAATCCGTGTTGCTGTCTCCACAGGTTACTGACCCCAGAGGAAGAAGAAGGGGGAAAGGATTTCAGCGAGTCTTAATATCAACCGAAACCACCGACACCGGCGTCTAATAGAAAAGAGAAAAACATTTGGAAGCCTGTTCTATCTGAGACGAAGTTAATGAAAGTTTATCGCATCTTTGTCTGCGGGTTCTTGTGTGGTCGTCCTGTGAGCGGTCAGCTCTGCAGAGGAGAGGGGCACCAGTGACGTCACGGTGCATTTCTGAGTGGACCCAGATTGCTGACCTGCTGCAGGTGAACACACTGTGCGAACAGAGTATAGAAGTTGTATTATCCCATTTCGAGAACACACAACGAAACGGGATAATAACTTAATGTGGGCCAGGTTTAGTGTAAAGATGTAGGCTACCTTAAAACGGTGGGTGGCGTGGAAAAAATTAAGAGATCAATCAAAATGTTTCTTAACCCTCCGGTATCACTGTGGACGTTTTTGTCCATATGGGTCATTTTTCACTTTACATTTTGCAATAACTTTGGTTCTGTTGGTGCAAATGGCCTGATTTTTTGTAACAAGGCTATTTTCTCGATCTAGTTTGGAATTCCAATTTCAATTTTTCAAATCGGTCTTTAATTCACTGTGTAACAAATCGACTACGCAAATTAGTCATTCAAGACAAAAATGTCCACTGCAAAATAATTTGATAAAAACATTATATTAAAAGGTTTTTTTCACAACTTTTTTGGGTTCAATCTTTAAAGCAACTTCCGCCCTAATAGAAAATACCAAAAATGTAATCATTTTCAGGATTTTAACCCTTTAAATGTCATTTTGAATACATGATGAAAACAGAGAAAATGAGTTATTTTCCAAAAAATACATATCTGGTGACTGGCACTTTTTTTAATAACAGTCTTGGATAAGTCAAAGATTAACAGCAAAATGAATTTTTTTGCATTATTAGTTTTTTCACAAAATCAGATTGAACAAAAAAGTTACATATTAGTCATTCGGGACAAAAATGTCCACTTCCAAAAACTGCTCTAAAATGACAACAGATTAATATTTTTTAAAACTTTTTGGGGTTAAATCTTTCAATCAACTTCAGTCCTGATCAAAAATACCAAATGTTAAATTATGTTCAGGATTTTAACCCTTGAACTGCCAGTTTGAAAACATGAATTTGCGTTTTCTATGAAAAACATGCAAAAAAAGGCAGTTATTTTCCATATAATGAATGTTGGGGGGGGTCGGCTTCTTCCTTTTTTTTTTTATCACAGTCTTGGATATGTTAAAGATTAGCAACAACATTTATTTTGGTGGATTATTAGTTTTTGCACAGAATCAGATTAAACAAAAACATCAGATTAAACAAAAAACTCACATATAGCCACTCATGTCCCTCCACTGCCAATTATAACCCACATCTTTTTGATCTCTCACGCCATACGGTATAAAATTCCGTCGCATTTTTTAATGTCAGGGTTTTAATACATTGGAGGAAAAATAGTTCATTGTCCCTTTTTAGATTCTATACACAAGATGTGACATTTTACCATTGACATTACAGTGCTTTCATTTCTGGTTTTTGCCTGTTGTATAATGGGGCCCTGAAGCCCAGTTGGAATACATTAATGCAACTAATATGATGTAGATGTGTTGGTATGGATGTGGAAGAGTGGTATCAGCTGAGAAATGTGCGTGTTTGTGTGTGTGTGTGTGTGTGTGTNTTGCTAATCTTTTTGACATGTCCAAGACTGTGATAAAAAAAAAAAGCCGACCCCCCCCAACATTCATTATATGGAAAATAACTGCCTTTTTTTGCATGTTTTTCATAGAAAACGCAAATTCATGTTTTCAAACTGGCAGTTCAAGGGTTAAAATCCTGAACATAATTTAACATTTGGTATTTTTGATCAGGACTGAAGTTGATTGAAATATTTAACCCCAAAAAGTTAAAAAAAATATGAATCTGTTTTCATTTTAGAGTAGTTTTTGGAAGTGGACATTTTTGTCCCGAATGACTAATACGTCACTTTTTTGTGCAATCTGATTTTGTGCAAAAACTAATAATGCAAAAAAATCAATTTTGTTGCTAATCTTTGACATATCCAAGACTGTTATAAAAAAAAAAGAGCCAGTCACCAGATATGTATTTTTTGGAAAATAACTAATTTTCTCTGTTTTCATCATGAAAAAAAACTGCGGTTTCATGTATTCAAAATGGCATTTAAAGGGTTAAAATCCTGAAAATGATTACATTTCTGGTATTTTCTATTAGGGCGGAAGTTGCTTTAAAGATTGAACCCAAAAAAGTTGTGAAAAAAACCTTTTAATATAATCTTTTTATCAAAGTCTTTTGCACTGGACATTTTTGTCTCGAATGACTAATTTGCGTAGTCCAATCGAATGATACCGGAGGGTTAAATCTCAATCTCTACATGTATGGGCAGCCATTCAATTCCAGTGTCTGTTGAACTCCAACAAAGATAAATTAATTAAATTAATTGATCACTAAATGTGCTTTAGTAACATTATCCAAAAAAAATGGCCATTCTGCATAACGAGTACTGTAGTTTTTGTACTAATTTTCAATCCAATACTTTTGTATTTAAATGTAGGATATCTACTTGTAATAAATTATTTCTAGCCTGTGGTATTACCACTTTTACTTAAGTTGTTCCACTACTGCCTAAACAGACATGGCTACACACACATTCATTTACAGTAGGTTCTCTTGCTTTCGTTTAACCATGCATCACCCCAGTTTCCTGTTGCAGAGAAAATAAAAAGGAAGTTGGACAATCTGACCCATGATTCTTTGCTCTACAGGAAGCAAGCACATCACCAAAAAGCAGAGGAGGGCAGACAGTTGAAGCCAAAGGAGAAGAAAGGGCAGGTGTCTGATGGTGGAAGATCAGGGGACCAAAACTGAAAAATCAACAGCTGGAATAGAAGATGGGTGGACGAGTGAGCTGCTGGCTGCTGCTCACACTGTCTCTGAAAGGTAAAATACATATTTAAACTAAAGTTTTGGCTTGACATGCATATAGCAAAATTAATGCGGCTTATAAATCATTAAACTGATGTCACAACTGCTTGAAGATGGTTTCAGTGGCACCAGAGCTGCATGCATATTATATCTATATTAGTTCCAATAAAAAATTGTATTTTTACATTTCACCCTGTGACTTATTTTTGTATTGTTTTATTCTTATATTATTGACCAAAACACAAACATTGTTGTACATTGCAGCAAAACTTGTAATGCAGGTACACTCAGATACGTCAGTTAATTTGATCTGTATATCTGGATTATCTTAGGTTAATAATGTTAAAGAAAAATACAGTAACTTGCGTAAATGTTAGACCCTTGTAATGTAACTTAGTGGTTATGATATAAAAACCTGTTGTAATGTATTATCTATATCCTCCCCCTCAGGTGTTCTTGCAGGTGATTGGTCAGTTAGTCTTCCCTCCAATCCTATTTCTGCTGTGATTGGTTCCTCTGTGGTTCTCCCTTGTTCCTATGACTTCCCTTCTTCTGAGGCTGAGAGACGGCTCTCTGCTCAGGTATAAAGAAGGCTTTGTTAGCAGTTGCAATGTATCCTGTTTCTTCAGCAGGAAGTCTTTCTTTGCAAGGCTCTTAAATGTGCAGCTGCAGGGGTTTGATCAAGAATAATTTAAATAAACTAACTTATTTGATGGAAGGATTTAAACATCGAGCATCAGGTTAACACAAGCATAATTATGTGGTATTAAATGGTGCTTTAGCCCTTGTTGAAAAGCTCCTTCAATAGAAACTCTGTCTAATTATCTCAATTAGGGTGGAGGAGGAGGAGAGGGAGAGGGACAACAGTACAACGTTTCGACTGAGATCTGGTGTCTCGAAAACAATCGCTGTATCACATCAAGGTCTTGTTGAATTAAGATGCACAAAAACATCCACGAACATTTCTGCAAGAACTTATAGAAGAGGGTTAAACCAAACTAAATAAATCTGTCTATCTGTCCCAGATATGTCTTCCACAGTGCCGGTATATTCCCACATCCATCCTACCAGAACAGGGTGGAGTACCTACAACCAGGAACCAAAAACTGCTCTCTGAGGATTTCTGACCTGAGGAAGTCAGACAGTGGAGCGTATGTGTTTTACCTCATCACAAGCCACCCCACTCAGAAGATGCCAGAGCAGAAAGGAGTACAGCTCCTAGTGGCAGGTGGGAATATTTCATTCACAACTAATGCCAAAACTCATCACCAACAGTAATACTATAATGATCTTCATCCTTCATTATCGATGCATAGCTCATGTTGTTTGAGTTGCAAAGGATTTAAGAAAAAATAAATGTTGTACTTTGCGAATTTGTTGACTTTAATATTTGGATGACATGTGTTGATGTTTTAGCACCATCACTTGGAGAAGGAAACACTTCCTTTTTGCAACTCTGTGTGCTATTTATGTGAAGGAGAACTGAAACTGACCAGAAACCTTAACTTGTGTTTCAAGACAGTCTTAATTCCGTACCCAAATGATCAAAGTCCCACACAGCCACACAGCCCAGAGACTCACTGGAAACATGTCTTTGCTGAACTCCTAAAGCAAGGTATTAGAGCCTGTTGAAAAGCAACCTCATTGTGTTTGTGTGAGGTAACTCATGTTGCAATATTCTTAAGAAATGATGGACCAACATCTGTGTCAAGTCACTCTCTTGTTTTATTTTGTTGGTATAATGCAGTCATAATTATCAGTGAAAAGTTGAAAAGTTAAAGATTTTCAACTTTTCAACTATTCAATACAACTTGCACCATGCAGCTGCAAATGAACAAAAACAAAGGTTTGTTGTTTGGTCATGAACAGTTGAACCACTGGTTGGAGGAACAGCACAAGCATGAATGGCGAAGCATGCAACACCTTTTAAATGAATAGAGGCTTGTGAAAAACAACCTGGAGGCAGGAGTTTATTATTTTAAGGTCAGCTAGTCCACACAGAGGTCACATTCTCAATATATTTATTCTGCTTAAAATAAAGAGATCTGAAATTAGTTTTATTTTTTAACATTCTTATATTGAAACAGTACACATTAAATATGGATCATTAGTTAATAAGGATTTACATTTTATTCCCACCTTTTAAACTTCAAGATAGAGTAGATGTGTACAGAAATAGAACAGTTAAAGGTTTGATGTTCAACAGGGAAAATATATATAAAACAATAGACTCAATCATTTTTTGTATGTGTTATACAGTATGGCAGGTTAGTGGACCTTTTACCTCAGTATTTCTAAAATCCTGGCCAAAGCCCTGAACAGAGATCTTCATACAGTTCTTTTTCAAAGATCACTTAACTTCGTTTTATTCTTGAATAATAATAATACGACTTAATACACTTGTTATTTGAATAACCCTCGTTTTCTCCAGACTCCTCCAGTGCAGTCACGGTGTCAGCGAGTCCCTCCAGTGACATCACAGAGGGCGTGACCCTGCGTCTGGCCTGCGGCAGCCCTGCAGCCAGTCCCCAGGCCCTCTTCAAATGGTACAAGAGCACAAGCAGCACCCCGAGACACACTGGACAGGTGTGGGACATCAGTGAGGTGACACCTGGAAACTCTGGTAGCTACTACTGTCAGATACAGACTGGGGATAAAGAGCAGAACTCAACAATGCTGCCTATTGATGTAGAATGTAAGTGAAGATTTATTCCCATTTAAATTGATATTTCTATTATGAACCAACAATATGTAGTTTTACGCAACTATGCGTCTCTCATCAAAACAACAACAAAATAAAGTTTGGCGATATGGAGAAGTAGCATGGGATTATGAGAGTTGTTGTCTTCTCCACCATTGCAGTCAGCTATCTCTGATTGGGCTTTCACCATTGTTCATCGTTCAGTAGGCTTTAACAGGTAGACAAATTATCCACAGAGGTTTTTGCAGGGTTGCCACTAAACGTTTGCTGAGCTTGTTTTTATGTAGAGTTGAGATCCAGGTGTTAGGCTGGTATTTATCGGGTGCCAAATTTTCTGCCGACTTCTCCTCCTCTCTTAAACAAACTGACTCAGTGATTTAAACTGAGAAAAAACAAAGAGAGAAGCAGTTAAACTTTCCCTTAGCTTTTTTTCTCATGAAGATCTAGACGTTTAATGTATTTGGATCATTCCCTTGATTACAGTTAAGAATTTCTATAGGTTTGAAAATTGTTGAAAACATTTGGGATAGTATCCACTCAACATATAGGTCCAGACATGTAATATCTTACATAATGTATATTTTGACTGAGAAATTCTACATAAAGAAACATCACAGTATATTGTTTTCTCTATTTAATTAATGAATATATCATTAGCATTAAGTGTCTTCACAGAATCCCATATGATTTGAAACAGGGTGTAACTGACTTTTCATCTCCATCCTGTCCAGACTCTCCTCGCAACACAGCGGTCTCAGTCTCTCCTGCTGCAGAGCTACAGAACGGGCTTCCTGTGACTCTGACCTGCAGCAGCGATGCTAACCCTCCTGTCCACACATACACCTGGTACCAGGGGGCAGCATGTCTTCTGGCAGCCGACAAAAGCTTTAATCGAGGCAGAAAATCTCCGGCTACACCTACAGGACGAGTCCCGACACTCAGCACTGCCAATATCTCCGCTGAAGAATATGGGCTGCACTGCTGCAAGGCTCGGAACAGACATGGATCACAGACTGACAGTGTGAAACTCACAGATCCCAAAGGTGGGTCAATACGGAGCCTGCCAGTTCTTTGTGGAACCAAGTTCAGCAGGACATAGGCCCAAAATAACACCTCATCTAATATTCAACAACAAACAAACAATACATAGAAAATAAATTGATATTTCTAAAAAGGAGTCAGTGCTTACATAACAAGAGGTGACTGATTCGTCATTTTGCATACCATAAACTATGACAATCACAAAAAAGGAACCTTTATCACCCTCATTAAGGTACAATTATAATTGGTTGGCCACTGATCCATTTCAGCAGCAACAGTTGTGTCGGTTCTTATGTAAAACAAGGAGAAAAGTGATAATTAAAGAAACCCATTCTTCCACCAGAGCACCAAACACTTATTAAGGTATCATTTTCAAACTACATATCTCTTCTCTACCTTTGAGATGCATAAAAAAAAAAAAGGTATGAATTGCCATGTAAATATTTAGTTTGAATACTGGGTCTATTTTGCATTTTATCCAGTACAAATAAACACTATATATATAGCTTTGCTGCCATGAAGCCCAGCCTTATGAAATACCTTTACACTGTAGGTCCATCAGCACCAGGATGTCTAAGGTCTAGCTATTAAAAAGTATAAAATAATTCTGCCAGAGACCGTTTTATATGACTCTAATGGTTTTTGTCTGTCCACCCCAGCAACGGACCCATCCGAGTCTTCAGGAAAGAGATTGCTGATTATTGGAGTGACTGTCTGTGTTATCCTGGCTTTAGTTGCCATAGTGGCCTTTCTCTTGTCAAGGTGAGTTATTTACTCCCCTTATAGATGATCAGTCACTTTTTTAATGACTGTATCATTTAATTTTACATTTAGACAGATGCATCTTTCATAGTCTGCATGCAGAGTCTGTTGCTTGAATTATTCCAATAATCAAATCTAGATGTGAATATAGCGTGTATTTAAAAGGTTGATGTCTGCAGTAGTGTGACTATCAGCCCAATATCTCCAATGCTGTGTTACATGTTATTTATTTTTAATTTTAGATAGATACAATGAAATTAGTATTGTAAATTGTTTTTGTTGATAAATGTTTTGTCTATCCTTTCAGGAGACAGAAGTCATCAAGACATCAGTCGTATGTCCTCACAGAGACATCTCCTCCGGCACCTTGAGGCTTCTTTCAGCACAAATACTAGAACGCTTTTTTTCTGGATTTTCTGGAGTTGACTTTTGCTTTAAGAGAATACTCAAGCAAAAATAATAACTATGTAAATAGATTTACTCTTTTGGCTCTTATCTGTTCATTTGTTTACATAAGCTTAAAGGTGGGGTAGGTAATTCACTTCAGCAACACTTTTTGTTATATTCCATGGAATGCTCTTAACATCCCGATAGCAATGAACACATTAAATGCTTTGACAATAAATACATAAAAAAAATTCATCTGTAGAAGCCGTGGCGCTGTAAAAAGCACGACCAATTATTTTAGCCGGCCCGGCTAAAATAACTGGATGGCCTACCTGCCTGTCAGCCTTCCCATTCTCGTGCACAAACTTATCTCGTGCCCTCATTTGGTCATGTGCGGCTTTTGGTGTGTGTTGGAGGAGGGCTCTGTAAGGAAGTCTGAAAGGAAGGGGCAGATTTTTTTCGGGCTGCATACTTCAAATTCTACGCGCACTCGAGCTGTTTTCTCCATTCTTATACCCCTACCTTTAACTGTTATTGTGCTTTTGGATTAGTTTAATGCTGCTGTCAGGATATAACCATGTGATTAGTGATAAAATAACAATTATATTATTATCACCTAATTCCTTCTCTCCTCCTACTGCACTAAACATACACACGCGGTTGCACCCTAGTTTACGGCAAGGTGTCCAGAAAACAGCTGTTGCTCAAAGCCTGTTAGTGATCGATGCAGGAGCAACGAAGATGATTTGACGAAAATTACATTCATAAATGATCCAATTAAAATGCCGTTAGCGTAAGCTCTGGGGTTCACATTTGTGTGTTCTTGAGTAACGCTGCAGTCACAGTTGATAAGGTATAACAGTACTGACCGAGCCTGAGGATGAAAACCAGGAGGACAGTGGACTCTGAAACCCGGACATTCATTACAAATTCTACCTCTCGCGATATCAACTCTTCATCTTGTTCGGTCATATTCTTTAGGAAAAAAAACGTCCAGAATGCCTTTTAAATATTAAAGTGCCGATGAAGCTAAGAACATGCTGATTGAGTGGACCAAATATTTTAAAGAGAACAGATTTCATGTCAGTTTCATAGTGTTGTTTTCTTTGGGTTGCTATGCTTGTATTTTACTGTTCAGCTTTCCAAAGCCGAATAAGCTCACCAGCAACTCAAAAACACAATTATTTGTCTTGTTACATTAAACATAATGTTGCTATTTAAACGGGGCCCTATTGTGCTTTTTTTGGGTTTGTCCCCTTTCCCTGTTTGTGGTATTGTTGTGTCTTCCGTCAAATTGTAGTTATGGTTCATTGTATATTTGGGTCTGTCATTTCCTGTTTTTTTTGTACTTACCTCTTGTCTTTCATTTGAGCCCTGTTCTTCCTCCCCTGGTGTTTTTTTTCCGCCATCATCATTTGTCTGCCCCGCCGCCTGATTGTTTTCCACCTGTTCCCACCTCACTCATGTTTAAATTGTCCTTGTCTCTCCCCTGTCCTGTGTCAGTTCGTCTTGTTTATTTCTCCGCACATGGGTCGTGCCAAGGCCTCGCTCTGAAAGGACGGGCTTTCACTCATGGTTAAGGTTTTGTTAATTGTGTAGGCTTTAAGTTTTTTCTTAAGTTCTTTTTGTTTACGGGTAGTTTTTGGCCTCTTGTGGGTGGCACCGTCTTTGTTATTCCAGTACCTAGCTCTATTTGAAGAGGAAATACCTGGGTCGTGTGAAATAAAAATTAAAAAACATTACCATTTCCAACACTTTGTCTCTGGGTCGTGCATTTGAGGTTCATACAAAAGTATTGGATGTCTAGATCCTGACAATTATATAGATTTGAGTGACATGAAGATGCATGTAAATGGTCTCGCAAAGGCTAAAAACCCCAAAAGGTTCACATCAGAGGACCCTTATGTTTACTTCGGGACCATAATGACATCAACAATGTAACACTACGGGCTTCTTATTGGCTAGCGGCACAAACCACATTTGGTTGTGAATAGGTAACGGCAGAACATGCCTCTAAGCGGGGTTGGCCAAATCAAACAAAAACAAGAGCTAGCACGGCAACTAAACAAGGTCAGAGACGAACACCATAATAGAGAAAATACTGACTTTCAGACAAAGGAGGGTAGAAAGCAAATCTTAACATGTCAAACCAGTAGGAAAGGCACAATACAATAAAAAAATAACCATTAAAAATGTGCCAATTAATAAGGGCCATTGGAACAAGACATAGAATTAGTTTGAGTTGCCAGAGTAATAGAACAAGTAATGGAGATATACCAAGCATAAAGATGTACTGCCCAATATACACAATTGAAAATATAAGGGAACTAAATGAAGACAGCTGGCTCATATGAAAAGATGTGTAATTTAAGGCAACACACTAGGTAAAATGCATCACATAGTTACTGATTAGCAATACAAAAGCAGCAGGCAGATGTCACCAAAATTAAAAATGTTCCATTACTGCTGCACAAAATATACTGGAGTTGGAGACACAACAAATCAAGGGATGATAAGAATGTAAGTAAATCTGTAACCCATCTAATATTTATCCCAGAATTAGAGAATAACCAACATTTAGAAATCAATAGATCTCATATTAATTCAGGGGCAGAACCAATGCAGCAATTAGGATTCACAATGGAAACAAAAACAACATTAAAACAAATAATGAGAAATCAACAAAACATATATATACAAGCTAAAAAATATTACATTACTTATCAACCCTTACAAATACCGGTTCAACTCGCGCATTTCCACCTTTACACTTGCCTCTAACACCAGCATTGCAAGCAGGACATGACACTCTGCCTCCCAGTTCTCACCACTTTTCAGCTGTCGCACCTGTCTCCACGCCACTGCGCGCTGTGCACATTAAAGCTTCTCTACCTAAGACCGTCCCTTGCTCCTTGGCACCCACCCATCTAACCCACTACCACTACATTTTTCTGTACTTTTCTCCATCAAATCAAAAGTTAATAAAATGTGCTGACTCTCACCAACCCCCTCACTCAAGTTCTCAATCAATGAAATGTTTATCATTATGATAGTCTCGCTTCCCCCCCCTACCACAGTGTTACGCCATAGTTATTTAGAATTGTGGCACATCAGTCTGCCATTATTCTGATCCTTGACTGAAGATATCTTCAAAAGCTACTGACAAAATGTATCTGGGACATTGACGGGAAATCAAGGGGCCCCAGATGATCGATTCTTAGAGTCTTTGGTTTAGGCCATGACTTCATCTTGCCTGTATAGTATTTCTCAAAATATCACCATTCAAAGACCACTCTATCTTTTGTACAGCAAAAGACAACATGCTTTCCTATCAGATCTGCACACCCATTTCAAACAACTCCACTAATATCCCGGCCTAACATCTTGCCAAATCGTCAGTATTGTTAGCATTGATCATTGTGAGCCATGGAAACTACTCGCTGACTTTATCCACCGCATCTCTCGCCTTACAAAGCCACTGATCTACTCCACCGCACTGATCATACAGAATGGCTGTTTAACTCTTAATCCGGTTGGTCTTAGATCACTTATCCACCCTCTCTCCCCTCTATTACCTTCAGTAGAATCACACATCTATCGCACCACCAGACCCAATGCATCCACAATCACCTCTAACTGCTCCAAGGACCCATTACAAACCACACACTTAACAGTAGTTGTTTATTGACCACCTTGGATGTATAATTTTAGATTGCTTTGACACCAGGCCCTCGTCCTGCTCCTGTCCCTATCACCCAGAGGGAAATTTATCCTTGGAATGTAAATTGTGTTACGTAATATTCGCCTCCACTCTCAGTAAAAATATGTGTGCTGTGCGTGCGCGTGTCTGGGGAAGGAACGAGAC